GCCTGGTGTGCCCCAGCGAGCCGAGCGTGCCCCTGCGCGGGAGCGCCGCGTCACGCGTGCCACCGTTTGCGAAGGACACGCCGGTTAATTGTAAATAATTGTCTCGTGTCTCCCGAGGCCAGAGCCAGGACAATACGTGTAAGTGTAGGCGCAAGCAGGAACGTGCTCTCCCTGGGCCTGGAATCACGTTTCTCCCGGTCACACGGGAATTTCCTGACAAATTACGCGTTCAGCGTTGATTTAAATAGATGCATCGTCCTGTCAGGCTGAAATTTATCCTTGTGAACTGGTAAATTTGGCACAGCCTTGAACTACCCCCTTTTGTTATTACTTTATCGTTTTGAAGGTAGAAACGCAGCAAATACCTATTAAAAAGCCGTAGGGAAGCCACGCAAGCGTACAGAGGGAAACCACGTCGAAGGTGGAATTAGCCGCAAAAAAAACGCTCCAAAGACTGCCAACGCGTGCGCGGGCCCAGGTGTCGCAGCACGGGATTTCTGAGCAAAGAGCAAGGAACAGAAAGAATCTGTGTTAGAGGCAGTAACAGCTCCCTACGATGAAACTGGAAAGTCATTTCAGAATGAAAATTTTGGAGGAAAAACCCATAGCCGATGTTAATAAATTGAATCGGGGTGAGTTCTTTCACCATGTATTCAGTTACTCCAAAGCGTAGCTTGCTCAAATAATAAGCAAAGAACAAAGAAGTGCCCAAGGAAACACTGGATAAACACGACAGAAAAACACCCTGGAGTGGTGCAACCTTTCTGCAGCAGTGGTCTCCATTTAAATACCACAGAACAGCTTTGCAGGCGAGTATTTCCTCACGGAAAGCGGCTCCTGAAGAAGCAGGAGTGTGTAGAGAGCACAAGGTGAGAAGGACAAGATTTTCTCCTGCATTTAGGTAACATTAATACGTTTGTAGCAGGGAATAAACATCACAGCAAAATTTACTAGGCTGACATTCATTAACCCGATTGTGCTAAGAATAGTTCTTAACACCTTGCTAACCATTACCGCTACGTATTAATTTTTACCTATTATCAACTGTCAGCACGGATTCAAAGCAGCCATCCCTGCAGAGCTGTATCCCACCTGAGCTGGCAGCATACAGTGCCACGCAGCGGGTGCCTCCTCCTCGGCGCCGATGGCTCCGGTCCTCAGTGCTCTCAAGGGCCAGGTGCACGAACTCTGGATGCGGGGAGCCAGAGCTGAAGCAGGCGTCTGCTTTCTGCCCCCTCCCGCATATTTGGGATCTTACCCTTTTATAAGGCTGTGCTATCTGTAGACAATACGCAGCCCTCCACCCCCACCCTCGGATAACGTTCCTGTGCGCAGCGGGGCCAGGGTGTTGTTTTCCCAGGCCGCGGCAGGTGCCCCATTCAGTTGTTGGGCTGTTTTTTTTTATCTTGTTTCTCTGCCGCTTCCTTTCTTGAAGCAAAAGCAGCCTGTTCCCAGCTCTCAAGGTTATGTTTAGCCAAAGACCAGTCCCTGACCATCAGCGGGTTGTTTTTGCTGCTGCAGCCTCCTGCTTTCAACTCGCACCCGCGTTCTCAAGGCCTTTGTTACAGCCCACACTTAAGCTGTGCCTCCTCACAGGAGGCAGCTGCTGGTTCACACAGCAAGTTCTCATAACAACAGGCCCACGGTTAGCCAACAGCCCGGGCCTCTGGCTAGCACTAGCGCTTTTAGGGGGCACAGAACCATGTATCCCCTCACACCACGCCAGCTCGCTCGTGCCTGGGTTCTGAACAAGCTGGTGGTGAACAGGCTTGGGGGCTTCTGTCGCCACTGTAAGCAGCTACAGTGAGGTGGGAAGCAACGGTTCCACCTGGTGTACCAACACATAACCAATTTTACTGCTTACTGGTTTATTTCCTACTGCAGTTTTAAACACTTAAGGGCACGGTGTAGTACAGTAACAGATCATCTGAGAACAAGCAGTGAAATAAGTGCCTGTGTATGGCGGAAACAGTAAAGTCTCCATCACGAAAGAAATATAACAATCCTATTAACATAAGCCTTATGATTAGCTTCCGTAAGAAGCTGTTAGTTCACAATCTCCTATATTTCAAAGCCTTCAAACTAAAGCAGTGACATGTCCACGCTTTTTGCTCAGTATTTTAAGTGAATTTGCTGGAATGGGGTGACAGTTGTCACCCAGCTGCACCCAGAGAAGCTGTGGATGCCCCATCCCTGGAAGTGTTCAAGGCCAGGCTGGATGAGGCTTTGAGCAACCTGGTCTAGTGGAAGGTGTCCCTGCCCATGGCAGGGGGGTTGGAACTAGATGGTCTTTAAGGTCCCTTCCAACCCAAACCATTCTATAAATTCACCCTAGTGAAGCAATGCTCCAAGCTCTTGTCTTAGAAGCAAATGCCCAACCTTCTTTTCTCTTATTAAATAAGCTAATTCCTGTTTTCATGAGATGCTGTTTATCTATATATGTTTTGACCCACTTTAACAAAACAGTTAAAAATAATTAAAGATTAGAAGTAATTATTTATTATGAAAATGTAAACATATGTGTCTGATTCCTGAACCATCAAAATATATCACAAAACGTATGTACTAGAAAACAAGGAAAAGTGCATTGTCGTGTATGCATTTCCTTAAGCTTGTGTAATCCACATTTTTTGTGTACACATTAATAATCTTCAAAGGTCGTGTTGAATATCGTTCAGTGCATGTGTAAGTCGTCTTATTTTATTTTCCATGGCTTTTTTATTGTCTGCCATTTCCTGCAGAAGCTGTCGCATTTCTTCTTCAACACAGTAAACCTGAAAAAGCACACAGAGGTCAACTATCATTCTTGCTTTCCTTAATACACCTAAAGACATACAGTCTTGGCAATTTTTAACACCAAGAAGCAATACAGGAGTTATATGCTTATGTTTAAATATGCAATAAACTAGTTTTGACACTGGAGGCAGTAGCAGAATTGTGCTTTAGAGTATTAATTTGTTAGGAAAGAGCGAGTCACGTATCAAACCCAAACTACCTACTATGCAGAAAAAGCACCAGTTATCATATACTGCATTCCTCCGCCGTGTGACAGGAACAGTGACTGTTAACACTGGCATGGGTGAGTTAAATGGATTATCTGGCATCACCATCATTATTCTTGCCTGTACAGATAAGGGAATGTTTCGCCATTGACTCCTAACAGCTACCTAGCATGCACCTTCACTTTGTATGAATACAGAGCCTCGTGGTGGCACAGTTCTACAGATTTTCTTGCTGTGCAGAAACTGAGCACGAACCCAGGGCTATTCCCAGCCAGAGATTAGCCAGATAGATACAAACAGGTGACTTCAAGCACCACTGTTGTAGGAGCTGTAGAGTAAAACCACAAAACACAGTAAACATATACATTTAGCATTAAAATTACTTTTTCATTTGCTGCTTCAATTAGTTTTTCCTTTTCATGTGCCAGCTGCAATAGCTCTTCCCGATGAGCTGCAAACACTGACTCAAGTTGTTTTTTAAAAGCATCCTTCATTTCATGAAGCTTTTCCACAGCAATCCTAAAAAAAAAAAGAAATAAAAAACCAAATCACACTCTTGTTTACAACTGAAGTATTCTGCTTTGTCCAATTCTGCCTTTGATAAGGTTTTAATAACATCGACACAAGACAATTACTTCCATATCTAGCATCAGAAGACATCCTGTTTTCTTAACTACGTGTTCTAGTGTTTAGGGCTTCTGGCAGTCCTCTTAGCAGAAGCATTTAATCACTAGCAAAGAATACAAAGATTTGGGCTTGCTACTGTCAACATGGATAAGAACTTTGCCTGTTTTCAAGCATTTACTTCTTATGCTTTTGTTTTCTGAGAAGTCAGTGACTGAACCATGCGATCCTCTCAACGGCCTGCAGGCCTGTGTCTCACAGAAAGAGAGAAGTGTCTGCTTCACAGCTGTGAGCCGTTTCCTCCACTCCAGCCAAATTCTGCTTTTAGGGGATACTTCTGAAATACATAGCAACAGAAAGGAAGGCAAATTACTCCACAACACAATTTCCACCAAAATTTTTAAACAAAACAGTTATTTGGGACAAAGTTTCAGTTTCGCTACTGAACTTCCAACAATTCCAAAGCCTCGTATTATTGACTGTTTAAGGTGGTTGGTTGGTTTGTGTTTTTTAAATCCAACTTGACCATGAAGGTATTTTCTTCCACTTGTTAATCAGATGACCTTCCTTAAAATAATAGCAGAAGTATAATTGAAGTATTTAATTTAAAAACATAAAGCAAAAAATCTTTGTCATAATACCTTATTCTTTCAGCAACAGTATGGTTATCACAGCTAGATTCAGTCTTATTAGCTAGTTAATATTTTCTTAAGAATAATTGGGAGGGAGAAAAGTAAGAGAAAGGGGCCAAAGAATAAAGCAAAAATCATACTAACAATCCAGCTCATCACAGGCAGCAGTGTACCATATTTCTCTGTAATGCCAGAAGCATATGAAATAACTCAGCATTAAAGTCCCTGATTATTTTCTGGGTTGTGAGTATTTGTTGCTGTATCATCTCATATTTACTATTAACTGCTGAAAAAAAATGACAGTAGAAGACGACTAATAAATTAAAAGCCTGTTGCTACTAGTATGGGACGAGAATGACAGGTATAAACAGTCTGTTTGTCACAGACTGAAATATTTATTAGCACTGTGGTAGGTGCTGCAGATCTATCCTCAATGTCCTACACAGTGCACAAGGAATTTTCATCATCCTGCACAGACATTAGGGAAGCACTGTGGGTTCCCTCGTAAGCCAAGATGTCAGTCACGGTTGATTGGCTTGAGCTGTGATTTGCAACCAGTTTGTCCCATCCCTCCTGGTCCCGAGCCAGCCCGTGCGCACACAGACCCGGGTACGGACTGCGAGACTGCGCCTCACGTGCACAAGCGCCTCCCCGGCACGACTCCAGCCAGCACGTGTGGTGGCTGTGTCAGTCTCTGCCCTGTAGGCGTGACATGGGGTTTCCTCACGGAGATAAAGTGCACCCTGTAGTGGAACAGGCATACTGGGGAGGAACTGAGTGTAGGCTCCAATAATTTTCAAAATAAAAAACATAGAACATAGCTAAAAGTTTGTTCAGTTTCAGCGTTCATCCTTCGGGTATGAACGACGCATTCTTTCACTGTATAATCAAATATTTTTGTACACTTACTAACAGTGCAACTCTATACTAACTGAGCAGTCACAAAGTGAGGCATTAAGGTGTTCACCTCTGAGTTTGAAGACTTTTATTTCTCTCTTCAATCAGCTTCTTCTCTTTGATATCAAAGTTCCCCTTCATTTGTTTCACCTGCACCTCCAGCTGGCTTAATAGCTCTCCCTTACCTTGCCACTTCTTTTTCAGTGCACTGAAAATAAAATGCACATTATTTACAAGGAATGTAGATACCACTGCTTAGGAGGGGGTAGAAAAGTTTTCCAGGCTTCCAGTTTTCCCCATTTCTGTGGGTTTTAACAGCAATCAAGTACTCTCTGAACAGAGAATAACTTGAGAGCAGTGTTGCATACTATTCTGATCCCAAAGGATTATTGCCACTTGTATGTATCACCTGTGTGCGTTCCTAATGTCATCAAGTTCTACTTCTTTTTCTTCTAGCAGTTGCTTTAATTCCTCTTTTCTTTCACTTTGCCTTTCTAATTTTGCCATTAGCTCTTCCAATTCAGCAGCTTTTTCATCCAACTGTACTTGAAAAAATTTCTGAGCTTCCCGATTCTCTTCATGCTGTTTTCTGATTTGTTTATCTTTTTCTTGTAAACCCTTCAGAAGATAAGTATTTTAGAACACAAACTCCATTCATTTTAACTTTAGTGTTACCCTTTAACAGTATCTGTTTAGTCTATGCTGGAATAAAGCCGAGACAGACACGTGAAAGTTTACTCTTCTAAACATATATGAAAAACACTTAGTAAAGCAATAGCCAGTTAAATAATTGACATCTGAAAGAAGTCAGAATTAAAAAGTCATCAAAACATAAATTTGAAATTGAACGCAAGTTAAGAAATGTGTTATTTAGAATTCTAATGCAACAACTATTCCACATACACAAATCACTGAGCTGACATTGCTATGTGGCTTTATAGTCTAAGGTGTACCACATCCAACCTTGACTGACATAACATGCGGTAACACTTTGCTCTGATTAATAAGCTCAAGTCTTAAGTCTTTAAATGAGATGGATGGAATTAACAGAACAAAACTTAGTAGCTCTGTTGTTAAAGTTTTAAGCAAACTTTTAAAAGTTTTTTTCCCCCCCTTCTCTTTTAAACACACAGGAAGAATTATGCTATCCCAGTTTTTCCTCTCTCAGAGTCACTGCCTTACTTCAAGTTGTTCTTGGTAAAGAGAAGAAAGTCTTTACATAAATATGGTTTAACAAAAGATTCAAAGTAGCATGTCTGTCCCTCAAGTTAAAACAAGGCCCTCTTCTGCTCTCAGTGAAACCGACAGCCTGACTGTGCCTTCCGAGTTGGAAGCTGGCTCTGCGCTCGGTTTACCACTACAGCCTTCACAATCACTCCCACTGCAAGTCTTAATTTTAGCTAAGCACACAAGTTGTCCGGCATGGCACTTACTTCTTTTAATCTCCTAATGGTTTCTGTCTGATCGTCCACTATTTTGTTTTTAATTCTTATAGTATCACTGTCCTGTTCCTTTTGCTTTTTCAACAGCTCAATCTCATTCGTTAAAACTTCAATTCTGGCCTCCAGTTTTCCCCGATCTTGAGCAAGATGAGCTCCTAGATAAAACAGGATATTCACACTGCAGCACTCGTTTTACAGATGACTTTGAGATGAGTAATGTCATGGGCAGGGGGCGGTGTGGGAGGCAAAGGCCCACTGACACCCTGCAGAGCTTTAAACTGTCGTGAGGTGACACTTAAGGAAATGTAGAACTGAAGGTCACTGTTTTCTCCTCTGAAAACTTCTCTGAGGAAAGCCAACAGTAATTCTTACAGACCCAGCCAATCTCAAAGAACCCACGAGGTGGTGCTGAGTCACGTGAATCACAGAAAGATGCAAAAAGCCCAAGCTTTTTTTCCACCCGGTATTTAACTTTAAGATGCACACCGAATTTTTCACATTAGCGTTACCTGACAGACAAGTAGCATTACATAACTCTATTTACAAATCCTTGTTCTCCTAGTTTCACAGTCAGAAGTTTTTTGCATAACGTTACGGTATTTTGACATTTTGGGCAAAGAGATGAACTGTACGTGCAACTAACTGCTGTTACAGTTCCCGTAACGGCCTGCGTACTACAGAAGATCTACTTTTGCACATCATCTTTGCAAGTGGATAAGACCAACACGGCACCCCCAGACGCTGTCATGATTACAACTCTATTGGAGTGTTTATTTGGAAGGTATGACATTAAACACCATTTTTTCTGCAAGGAAAAACAAAAAAAAGTTTTACCCTGTTGTGCCAACTCCTGCCCCCATATTTTTCTTTCCATTTTTAACCCATCAATCACGGATTCCTGGGCTGTCAGCTGAGAGATAAGTTTTCCATTTTCCTTTTTCAGAAGTACAACTTCTGCCGCCTTCTGTTTGTCCTCCTCAATCAGAGTTTCAAGCTCTCCAGTTCGACACTGTATGAATGAACGTTGGAAAAAGACAGTAAGATCCCATACAACAAGCTAACTGAGGAATATTCTGCTTGCACACAGAGTTCTGCTTGCATCTCTTCTCATTGAAACACAAATATTTGCTTCAAATAGACACACTTCCATCCCAGAAAACTGTAAAGCTGTACAACAAGCTAACTGGGGAATATTCTGCTTGCATCTCTTCTAATTGAAACACAAATATTTGTTTCAAATAGACACGCTTCCATCCCAGAAAACTGTAAAGCTGATTTCTAAATAGTCACCTTAAATTATCAATGCCGTTATAAAAACCTGTTCAGAATTATAAATGCACAAGTCAAAAAAAAAAGACAAACTGAAAGTCAGCTTAAAAGATTAAAAACCAAATCAAAAGAAAACAGACTTCCACTTCCTATGATAAAGATTTATCTTCAGTTATGCAGGCTACTTTCTGTTTTACAGATTACAGCTATGTTCTAATTTGTTTTTTAGCAGCATCACTGGCTGGCAGAACATTCTGTGTAGCGTCACCATGTTTGGACACCCCAACAGCAACTTGCAGTGAGGAGATGAGAAAGAGCTGTGCAGGGGTTGTACTGCACAGAAGTTCTAACATAAAGAGGGACTGAATACATACATCAAGTGGATTATGCAACAGTTATGTTCCTAGGATTGTTTACAGACAACACAGTACTACAGTATGCTGCCATATGGTGATCAGTAGTATAAGCTAAATCAACTGTGCCCACAGTATTTACCATCAGGTAATTAGTAGACAATGACTAATACTGCTCATTTTATGCAATTCTCACAGATATGAAGCTGTTCATAACTACACTTATTTGTTCAGTTTCATTTTTACTTCACTTAATGACCACTGCAGAATCCTACTCCATTACTGTGAATTTACAAAGGGTCAGAGCTATTTAAGCAGGTTTTTAAATCCCAGTTTAGACTGACCACTTGATTATGTACAAACTGCTAGCACCCACGAGGCAAAGAGTGCAATTCTGAAGACACCAACAAGTCTACATTTTGCCATATGAGGAGCGGTGTTTGTGAAAGCAGAAGTGCAAGATTCAAGAAAAAAAGCTGATGTGGAGTTTTAATGCAACAGGAAACACATCTTTCAGTCAACCTACCTTGTATGGATTTGTTACTTTTATAGATAAAATATTACCAAGAAAATCATACGTGTAGTTGAAATGTTTCGAAACAAGTACCTTTAGCTTTGTAGTAGCTTCTTCATTGGATTTTGTTAATTCTTCAATCTTTTCTCTCTGTTCTTTCACTATACTTGTCAGGTCCTCGATCAGACTTGCCATCTCTTTTTCCTTTTGTTCAAGCTCAAAGAGGGCTTGTTTATGTTCAGCTAGATCAGCAGCAGCGTTTTCAAAACGCTCTTCTACCTGAAGTTTTGTAAGATAAGACTTGAGAAACGCTAACATTTGGAAAGAGCACGTATACATACACACAAATGACATCTGAGTTTCAAATATAGGAAGAAGTAGAAGTTCATCAACAGTATGTGAAATAAGTGAGTATCTGAAACTGGTTTTCTACCAGTTTGTTGGTGATCCTTCAACTCAGAAACTGGTTCTGCTCAGCTACACATTAAGAAAAAAAAAACCCAACCTGGGAAAAAAAATTCACGGGTGGATGGGAAGCAAAGCAGAAAAAACATAGCTTGGGAAATGAAAACAATGCTTTGATTTAATCTCATTGTTAAGAACAACATTAAAATCTGGAAAGAAGAACTTAAATCTTTTTTCTTTTTTTTGCTCTTGCAAGAGAGATTTGAAGGGTGACAAAACACTTTTCCCTCCCCTCTTCTCCCCTGCATCCAAATGATTTAAAAAATTAAGAAAACCAAGCTTAAGTGAAGGATTTCAAATTTTATTTCACTTAACATATAAAATAAGGTGAACACTGGCCATAGAAAAAAAGTTGTCCAAGGGATTTAGTAAGCAAGTTTTGAATATTAATTTCAAAATACATATCTATTTAAAATTCAATTTTGAGAAGTTAAACAATAGGGAACTTTATCATTAAATACACAAGTACATATGTAACTATGCCCTTATCAAAACACTGTGAGGGTTTTGACAATAATGTAATATATTCTAGAAGATCAACATCTTTTAAAAGAAATTAAACCCGCCAGATACAAGTTCTTCTGATTTTTTTTGATTCACTTTTACTTATGAACAAAAATGCTGGGTTGTTTGAGTGCTGACTTGGCATTTGGTGCCTTATGTTCTAATCACTGATATTTCAAAGCTTGTTACCAGTGTTTTTAGATGGATCCTTGGCGCAAAGACTTTAAGGATCAAAGAAAACTAATCCTCCCCCCTCCATTAAAAACCCCAATGCATTTGAAGAGCACTACAACTCCACCTAGTTTGAGATGAAATGTTCAGTCTTACCTCTTTAAACCTTTTGGCTTCAATAGTTAAAGCCAAACGAAATTCATCTTCTAACTCCTCATACTTCTGGTTTAACACACGAATTTTCTCCTGAAATTCTTTAACACGTTGTTCATGCCTCTGCTCCTCTTTAGCCACTTCTTTTGCCAAAGCATCTTGAAATTCAGGTCCATTTAAAGCAACTCGGGTTTGGAGTTCTTTCCTGAAGTTAGCAAACACATACCTGTGTCAAGAACTGCAGTGTCTCACAATGCTGTTTCAATTAATTTCCTTAGTATTTCTTAAAAAGGATAAGAAGTTATGTAATAAATGGGAAAAATTCCTTAGTTTCAAAGACAGATTTCAGTCTTCTATGACAATGGCTCTGTGATGAGGAGGAGAGTATTGACTACTGTTAAGACACCCAAAAGAATAAGCTTACTTTTTAATTCAAACCTCTGTAGAAAGTATTCAATTGCATTTTTGCTGTTAGCATTTGTTTGCATTGCTGTTAACAAAGATCTGGATCAAACACTGGAATCAGGGAAAAGCACTGTACGGCCAGATACCCTCTTTTGCAGTCATTCTCTTCACCTTAACCCAACAACTGCTGCTTCTCACTCAGACCCCAAACCTGAGAAGTAGCAGCAACAGGGACCTTTAAAGGGTTCCAGGATAAAACTCCTTCTTGTCTGGAAGCATGTCTATAGGAGAATGTTGAAGCAAAAGTATCCTGTACTTTAAGACTATCCTGTTCACCTGCCTTAAAGCACAAACAAAACCCACACCTGCTGTCCTTCACATTACATTTCTGGAGATATATGAGATAATAATTCGAAGTCCTTAAAACAGCGATCAGATTCTTCCCATTCGAACCTCCAGTTATCTTGGTATCTGAATACATTTATCCCTGTAAAATTTAGCAAGCATAACCAGCTTGTGTTATTAATAACCTCCCTCGCAGACCAGTATACCGCACACCACTTGTTGCTTTAGTCTGTACACGTCTTTGATTGTCTAGAACTTACGTTCACGTCAAAAAAAAGAAAAAGGAAATTTTGAGAGGAAAGAGGAAACAGGCCAGGCAAGCCACCCACCTGCCCGAGGGCAAGGCACTGTAGAAGCTGACTTCTTTTGAATGCTTCATGTGACTGTACTATATGCAGATCTTCAGACTGTAATTCAAATGCTATTTTATTTTTATCTGATTATGTCCTGAATTAAAGATCAAGTATTTAAAATAAAAAGGTCATCTACTCTATTGGGTTTGTGTGGTGGTGGGGTTTTGGTAGTGGGGAAAGGGCCACAGGGGTGGCTCCTGTGAGAGGCTGCTAGAAGCTCCCCTGGCTCCAAGCTGTCCCCACCTCTGGCCATGGATGAGCCAGTGAAAGCAGAAACAGAGTGGAGAGAGCAGTGGGCTGTGAGAGAGACAACCAGGCAGACACCAAAAGTCAGAGCAGAAAGGCAGGGAGGAGGTGGGCCGGAGCAGAGGTTCCCCTCAGCCCGTGGTGAGAGGGCAGGCTGTGCCCTGCAGCCATGGAGGGTCACGGGGGAGCAGAGACCCCCTGCAGCCCGGGGAGGACCCCACAACAGAGCAGGTGGCTGCACCCAGACAGCCCATGACTCTGTGGGAAGCCCGTGCTGGAGCAGTCCATGCCTGAAGGACCAGACACCTGGGGAAGGGACCCACACCAGAGCAGAGAAGAAAACTGCAGCCTGTGGGAGGGACTCATGCTGGGAAGTTTGTGGAGGACTGTATCCTGTGGGATGGACCACTGGAGCAGGGGAAGAGTATGGAGGAGTTCTCCCCCAATGAAGAGGAAGGGGCAGCAGAGACAAGGTATGATGAACTGACTGGGAAACCCCACTCCCCATCCCCTTGTTCTGCTAGGGGGAAGGAGGTAGAGAAACTGGGAGCATAGTTGAGCCTGGGAATATGGGAGGGGTGAGGGGAAGGCGTTTTTAAGATCTGTTTTATCTCTCATTGTCCTACTCTGATTTGATTGGTAACCAATTAAATTGATTTTTCTTCCCCAAGTTGAGTCTGTTTTGCCCGTGACCATAACTAACAGGTGAGTGGTCCCTCCCTGTCCCGAATGAGCCTTTCCTTACATTTTCTCTACCCCAACTCACTGGGGTGAGGAGCAAGTGAGTGGCTGCTTGGTCTTGTCTAGGCTGAGCCAGCAACACAACAGCAGCCACACAGTAAGACAAGAACCTATCAGATAAAAGGCTGGAAGAACACAGTTTGCCTATATGGACTTATAAGTCAGCAATCTACAAAGTATGAAGCTATTCTTAAATGAGCAAGAAAATGGGTGGGAACATACATTTTTAGAAAGACCATCTCTCCCATTAAAAAAAACCCAAACCACACCCACACTTTGCAGAATGCATTTAAACAGAACACATTTGTAACACCAGCATCTCTATTAACTTGTGAAAGTAGAAGACCCCATACCTTTGCTCTTGCTCTCTTAATATAAGAAGCTCATGTAGTTGTTTTACCTTCTCCTTCTGCTGTCGGAAGGATATTCGAAGTAACTGTACTTCTCTTTCATTTGCTGATGCTTTAAGCTCTGCTTCTTGCACCTGTTTCATCTGGGTAGAATTCATAAAGAGAAAAAAGATTTTCTTAAAACTGTAATCTATGTTTTTGAATAACATTCTTTAATCTGTATCCTTGAGTTTTACTGTTTAAAGTTGCTCAGAGCTGCTTCCTAATGGTTTTATGAAAAATAGAGAATCAGTATTAACACCAGGTGGCACACTCCACTTTTTCCATTTAATGCAAGCTTATATAAAATGGAATTATTCATAATCTTAAGCATAATCCTAAGCATCTTTTACATATAAAGTTGTATTTTCTGTCTGAACAAGTAGAAAAAAAAAGATATAAAAAAGTTACAAAAAAGGGGTTATATTACTCATGAAATGGTAATTCATAATCAAGACACCTTAGAAGGCTTCAAGTTAAAACATGCAACAGGCACCAGCAGAGATGATGTTAAGGGAGATATTCTTACTCCTAAACCATTACTTGCAGCATCGTCTCAATCCTTCTGTGCTCAAGCAGTGAGACGTAACAGCTTAACTATCCTGTCAACCTGCCCCCCTAAGCAAAGGCTCTCCACATTCTGTACTTACACAATTCTAATCTCTGCCTTCCAGAGTACCAGATCTGTGAATGGTTAATGGCTAATCAAGATTACTCTAGGTGTTCGTTACCTAACAGCGGAGCTAGGACGCAGAGACAGCCCAGTTCACTTTCCAACCCACAAAAAACACAAGCAAAAACCCCACAAACCAAAAAAGAAATAAAAAAAAAAACCCACCACACGTCTATTTTCTTTCAGAATTCCATCAGAACTGTCCCCTCAACTTCATTTTTGAACAATCAATCATAATGAAAAATAAAAGATTAAGGAACAGCTGTACGGAGTGTCCTGCACTGACAAATACAACACTGTTCCCAATGTTTATCATCTCCTGCAAGGTCCTTTGAGATATGCAAGTGCTGCTGCACATTATGAGCTGCAGCTTGAGAATGCCAGAGGAACCTGAAGCTCATACAGTAACTTCAGTTCTATGAAAACTGTTGTGAGGCTTGAGTATGAAGCGAAGTTCTTGTGTTCTACACGTTAAGCCTCTTCATGAGTGACATTTAGGTGCATCCCACCGTGTTCCTGTTGTTTTGTGGCTGAATTGAAGCAGTTCTTTTGTAAATTGAAGCACTTAGACACAAAAATTTCAACTGAGAACATAGGCAAATTTAAAGGCTGCCAGAAAATAGGGTACGCATTTAGATGCATAGTAACGTATTTATCTTGAAACCCTTAAAGAAGTTATCTAGTAACATTGATTGAAATCCTTAAACAGTGACTAGCCAGTCACCATAATTTACCACTGAAACAAACTGCCAATGTGTACTATGAAAAAGCTCTAAAAAATACTCTAGAATTTGTTAGAGTTAAAAAAAAATAGTCCAAAGGTATATCTGAACATTCAAAAGGAGAATTTAGTTTCTGCAGCATAATGATTATTCTTTGAAACATAATCATGAAAGTGTACTTCCTATAGGGTCTGAAAGAGAGGAACAAAGAACTTCCCTTAATAGAGTTCTGCAGTTAATAAAAATGATGCTACTACTATCAAAAGAGATGATTTATTTCTACAAACTCATTAAAGGAAAAATAAAACCACCATATACCAACAAGGTATTTCCCTTCTTATAGAAAAAGAAAAGAAACCCAACGCTCCAAAACATTTTCCTCTTCTCTAAATCAATAAATTTAGTACTTCTGTAAGTGACAAGCAGATATGTGATCTAAACCAAAGGTCATTTCTGGACCCATAACAGGGTATTTATGGGTAAGGAAGAAAATGGAAGAGCCACTCAGATGCCTAAACAGGAGCCTAAAGTGGAGGGTGGCTAATCTGTAACTTGAACCTACAGTCTGGCTGTCAGCACGCTCTCTGATTCTGTTTCCTTTCAGGGTATCTGAGCAGTAACACATCCCAAAGCACCATACCAGCAGTTCAGAGACTTCTGGATAGATACTGTGGGATTCAATTTCTCTAAGTGGATGAACTGATATGGGAATATAATGAAACAATATGAACAGATGTTGGAGGATGCAGCATTTGGCCACTGCAAATTCACCAATTAATTATTCAGTCTGAAATAGTGGCAGTATCTGGTCCAGTACATTGATCCTGTGTATCTGTACACTGAACAAAGTGCCTCTAACAAAAAAAGCATCATTCTCTTCTCCAGCTGTAAAAACAAAACCAAACAAGTCCAAACAAACAGCCAAGCTCTAAGAACCACAATCTTTAAAATATGTTCTAAGCAATTACTGTTTTGCTCTGGTTGCAATTAAAAGCATCTAATTAATTAGATCAGCAAAGCAAACAGAACCACCAGATTTCCATCCCACTAGGAAGATCTTTATTGACTTCAGCAACATTTAAAAAAACCCAAACTTGTCTTCTATTACTGCGTATTTTCAGAAAATATCAGCTCTCAGCGTTAAGGACATAGGACTTGTTCTCCTTTATCGTAAGGCCACATCACATAACATACTTTTATTAACAGAAGACATGAATCGACAATGAAAATGTATATTTGCTATTAACTACTACTGTGTGGAAAAAAAAGCCTCAGCTTTTATTGGGGAAAACTTGGACTTAAGGCTTGTAAAATCAAGCATTTCTTCATATCTAGGACTAGAGTAGCCATCCTGTTGCCACTGTCTTATTTACTCATGAAAAACATTTACCTCTACTGTTCGTTGCTGCAATCTCTGTGTCTCCATCTTGGACAGTGTTTCTTCTAAAGCCTGCACGGCCTTCTGATGTTCTGCTTCTTTGTCTCTCGCCCGATTTAACTCATTTGTAAGTCTTTCAGTTTCACCTTTCAGCTGCTGGACATCTGCTTGCAGTCTTGCTTTAGCATCTCTCTCTTTCAATATCAATTCCTTTAACCTGAGAATAAATGCAACAAAGTTGTATTACAAACATTTTAGTATTTAGTCTGATGCATTAGCAAGTGTGGTAGCACTGTATCTCGTTCTTTGCCGAGTTTTACTATTTACAGTGCTGTCATGTAAAACTGTTTAAACAATATGGACAATATTACTTAAGTCATGTGTAGCATTACTATATGGAGCTTCATTTTAAAAGAAACCGAGCTGGAGAGAACCTCATAGATAGGTGTTTAAAGGAAATGACACTCCAGTATCATTTTCCTATACAGAGAAGTTGAACATGTAGCAGCCATTTGTAGTTTAATAATTTTCTTCAGAAGGTTTGGATATCCTTCAAAGGATATTCTTTGAAATATCCTGAAATATTCTAATAACTTTTGATATAAGATCTTATGTCAAAAGGAAAGGCACATAATAAGCCTCTTATCCAAAGTGGCAACAAAAGTGGAAAGTGAACCTAAAACTAAAAGAAAAAAAGGGGAAATAATGACTGTCAGACATGGCTGGTAACTCAGGAAGCACTTGGCTTGTTTCTTCTTTACAAGAAAGAAAATACATCTTTGATAAATACGATGCAGTTAAGAAAAAGACAAATAGAGCAGACATCGCCAATCATAGCTGGCAGCAAACAATGCCTGCGTAGAGGGGAGAACTTTTGGAGAAAAAGAGGATGCTGCTCAGAACTTACAAGGATGATGACAGCAGTCTATAGGAAGATAAGCTAGGCGTGACGTGCACTACTGGCCAACCCTGGTGTGCCGGAAACAGCTTTGCTCAAGTGCACTGTGCAGGAAAGAAAGAATGCTCTATGTAGAGGTGGAAAAGGAGATTGGGAACTGGAAGCTGAAAGTATGTTATGAGACAGCAACTAGAGCTTGAGCTGAAAGTGCAATTCTGAGAGATGGCCTGGAAAGTAATGGCTAGAAATAGAGGTAAGTGACATACCGATGCTTGTTCTGAGATAAGAACAGGAAGAAAGCTGCAGAAAGGAGTTTCATTAGGCAATACTGAGACAAATTCTAGCACTATTTCTTGATACATTATTTTCCAAGTATATTGTTTAAAGCCGTTCTCATTTCTTAAGCCTATAAACTGAATGGTCTTGAATTGAAAAAAAAAAAATCAAAACCAAAACCCAGCTCTCATACTACAGCACTGTTTCCCTACCTGTCTGTAGTGTATACAGCCATACTCTGAATATTCTTTTCTTCTTTTGCACGTTTCTGTAGCTCTCTGACACGCTCTATTAATGTCTTCTCTGCTTGCTCTGCTTTCCACCTCCTTTCTTTCTCCTGATCCAGTTCTTGAACCAATGCCTTAGCAAGAACATGGTAAGCATCAACTTATGAAAAACATTCAAATGTAGCCAAAAATTACAAACGATATTTGTAATTGTAGAACAAGATTTTTTTTTTTTGGTCTTTCTGGAACTCATGGATAACAGAAGAAAGTGCAAGAGACCATACCAAAAAAACCCATAAAAGTGAAATAAATTCTCTTCCAGCTGACGCTACAAGTACTCCACTAGTTTTTGATACTACCTACACGCAATTATTTTTGTCAAGTCCAATTTTAAAGCTTCACCAGAAGACATACGCTTGGCTTCAGGTGAAAACATACTCATATTTATCGTGAAATGATGTAAAACATACTCGATATGTTGATTCCTCTTCAGCATTTGAATTAACTTCTTCAGCTTTTTCTACATTGCTTGGTCTTCCAGTAAGTATTTCAGCTTTTCTTCCCACTACTTCCAACTCTTGAGTATCTGATGACGAATTGAAATTAGAGTCTCTCTGACTGGAGCGTACACACTTTGAGGAACTCTTCTTCTCTTCCCTGTAACAGCAGGACATCAGGGTATATTTAAGAATATGCAGAGTTTAAGCAATAACAGGGGATTCAGACACTTGTACGAGACAAAATTTTACAGTTCGGCACATGAGCTGAATTTTACAGAGTTTAAAACCACTCTAGAAAATAATTCGCAAGCAGATCATAAAACAAACAGCTACATTCAAATCTTCAGCTGTGGAAAAAAAAAATGTAGTCCTAGTAGATGCCATCTGAAAAAACCACAACCACATAGACATTAAACAAGTTTAGAGAAGCTGAGTAGCTGTAGCAGAGCTGCAGCGGCTGACTAATATAATACATTCCAATTTATATCATCTTCTATTCATCACTTCTGATATTTACTACATAAATCAAATAAATTGCTATGGCATCATCAGTTTCATCACAAAACATGGACAGTTATATTCTTGACTATCATTCTGACACCATGAATTGTTTATTTTTATTTTTTTTCTTGTCTCTGTGGAAAATTATTCCATCATCACAATTTAAAACAAAGATGAAAATATAAGCTGTTCAAATTCTGAAAGTGTTCTGGAATCTTCAGTTCAATTTCCTTTTCACCTAAAGAGAGAAAATGCTCACACTGAATGAAGCCTCAGTAGCTAATAATTTTTAAAGCATTATTGATGTTTCACATGTCTGCTTTATCCATAAACATTTGGGTTGTTTAAATAACAGCATTTTAATACTTGCCTTGGTACACACTGGAAAATTAAACATCAAAAAAGCTAAAATAGCCTTGTACATCTTAAAGTCATTGGAGCATCAATGCTCCAATCAGCTCCGGAGCCCTCAACATCAGAAGGATATAGACCGGTGGGAGTGAGTCCAGAGGAAGCCACAAAGATGCTCCGAGGGCTGGAGCACCTCTGCTATGGGGACAGGCTGAGAGAGTTGGGCTTGTTCAGCCTGGAGAAGAGAAGGCTCCGGGGAGACCTTATAGCACCTTCCAGTACCTGAAGGGGCTACAAGGGAGCTGGGGGGGACTTTTTACAAGGGCCTGTAGTGACAGGACAAGGGGTAACGGGTTTAAATTGAAAGTGGGGAGGTTTAGATTGGATATCAGGAAGAAGTTCTTCACAGAGAGGGTGGTGAGGCACTGGGACAGGTTGCCCAGAGAAGCTGTGGATGCCCCATCCCTGGAAGTGTCCAAGGCCAGGCTGGATGAGGCTTTGAGCAACCTGGTCTAGTGGAAGGTGTCCCTGCCCATGGCAGGGGGGTTGGAACTAGATGGTCTTTAATGTCCTGACCCAAACCATTCCATGGTTCTATGATTCTGTATTTAACAGAGCCAATTAGAATCATAGAATGGTTTGG